GGGGGGGGGGTGAGGTTAGCTTCGATTACTTTGTTTTCAATACGACAGGTAGAATCCAGTAAGTGGTGTATTTATGTGAATGTGTATGTGAACACTAGAAACACTGCGTGTCATCAATACCAGAGGAAATGCTGTGAGAGGGACAAGAGCAGGGGGTGGAGGAGATAGGGAGCGCAGGTATATTAATTTATTTTTGATGAATTTTATTTCTGCATCCAGCTTCTAGAAGTCCAATACTGGACTAAAACCCCCGCTGTAGTATTCATCACTATACAAAAATGGATGTGGTTTGGTGTATAGGACACTTACCTGCTTTTGTGAGCCCTGCAAGCAGATATTCCTGGAGTCCTCCCCTGACACTGACTCCTCCAATACTCAGGATCATCTCCCAGTTCCAGCATTCATTTTGGGAATCCTCCCGCCAGTAAGCGAGCTTCATAGACTTGAGAGGGCCTGCTGAGCCTGTGTGAACAGCGACGCGCATGCTCCCTGTAGTGGGCAGGTTTATTGAAGCGTTAGCAGTGGCTTTTACTACTCTTCTCCCGCCTCTACACCCGGCGCGTCCGTCTTCCCTCTTACCCACCCCCAACCACGCTGTCCTCCGTATCCACCCCCTCCTTTCTTTCCCACCCACTCATCACCCCAGGCTGGGGAATCTCCATTGACGTTCGGGTGACGCTACTGTGCTGCCACTGTGGGTAGGTGGAGGTGGTTTCCAAGCGCTGCACAGGTAACGCCACCGCTGCCGCCATATTGACAGAGCTGGGGATGGGGAGGGGGCCCTAGGAAGAGGGGTGGGGGACAGAGTCAACGCCAAGCGACAGTCGCGGCGGCGGCAGTGCTGAGCACCAGTCGAGAGGAGCTCTCCGTGAGGCAGCAGAGTTTTCTTGTCTATTGGGGCAGCTGCCTGCGGCGGCGATCCTCAGCTCGCAGCCTGTGAGCGGACGCTGCAGCGAGGGCAGCGGTGGCTGAAGCAGGGTCTGAGGGTTACGTGGGTGTTGGCGGCGGCAGGCAAGCTCAAACGACGGGATGCGCGGTCGCTCCAGCGGTTAGCAGCTCCTGTTCAAGTGCTCCTGAAGGGGCAATGCTACCGTTCACTCCTCAGGAGGAGCTTTGGAACCAAGAAATGGAGGTGTTCGGAGGCGGCGCAAGCAGCGGCGAGGTTAGTATGGTGGCCGAGGACTGGAGCCAACCCCCTCCTTTCCACAGGACGCTGGCTGGAGGCCTGAGAGAGAAGGAGCATAGGGCTAGGGAGCGGGGTGCCCAGGCAAGATCCCTTGAGGCTGCAGGATGGTGAAGCACGCGCTGCCCCAACTGTGCATTCCCTGGAGACGGCGGGCTAGGGCGTGGGGAGTGAGAGCAGCCCGGGCCTGGGCTCCTTCTCAGAAGGAGCTCCTGCTGCACGAACCACGCTGGAGTTGTGACTAAGTTTCTTCCCTTTGAGACCTGAAATGGGACTAGGGAACCCCCCTGGTGCAGCGCCTAGCTCTGTGCATTCCTCTTTCTCTGCTGCGCCGGGTTTGCTGGTTGGGACCACTTTCGGGGACAGCTGCTGATTCCAGTTAGCTGTAGAACCCCGTGTGCTTTAGGATTCCAGCGCAACAAAAACATACCTAGGTGTCAGACTAACTCTGGGGACCTTTGCTTATAGGGATGTGTGCTCCTTAATTAGGTTGCTGGATTCTCCGTGGCATGTTGTGGTTTTTGTAACAACCCAAGTAGAGATTAACTGGCAGCCAGGTTTCTTTCTTTACATTAAGGTGATGTTCTGTGGTCCCCTCAGTTCCACCACCCTCTTCCTCCTGCCCTTCTTTCCCCAAATGATGTCTCTGCCCTGTTAGTCTTTAAAAGAAAACGCAAAGGAAACCCCAGTCCTTATTAAGAGGAATCTTTGGAAGACTACTAGGTTCAACCAGGATATTTTGATTTTTCTCTGTTCTCGCTCTTCTGAAACTGTTCTGGTTGGACTTAGGTCAGCTATGTAGTGAACACTTAGATGTGCACAGGTACTCTGTAAAAGCAGTGTTATTGCTGTTTGTTGGTGTTGTTAGAAGCGGGCAGCATTTAAACACTAAAAATGAGACTTTGGGGATAGAAAATTGGATCCTTTTATGATAACTTAATGGATTGGCAGCATAGTACTCCAGTAGAGGCCACAATAGACCTCATAAAAATACGTGAATGCCAAGTATTGATTCACAATAGGATATTTTGAGGTAGCACTGGCAATCGCAGTCCTCCGCATCTCAAGATGCAAATTTGTCTTCAAATACTTGCTCCATCCTTAAAAATAAACTTTGGACTGTTCTCTGTTTAACTCGTTCTTTTATCTTTTTCAAATTTCCAACAAATTGGGGTTAAAATTACGTGCCAGGATAACATTTAACAAGAAATGTGTAACAGAAATGAATTCAGGAGTCTAAAGTTGAACCTTCTCCACTATAGTACATATTTTACAAGTAAATTAAGCAGTTCCAAAATGCATTTTAATAGTCTACATCTCTTAAGAACAGGATAAATGAAAAAGGGTTCATTTCTTCTTGGAATTGATTCGTACTTCAAGAATTTTCTAGCAAGACCATTAAAAGGGAGAGGAATTTTATTTTATTCACTAATGTAATCAGTTGACTTATAGTCCCAGGTATCACGTTTATAAAAACAGTTAAATGCTTGTATATAAGGATGGGGTGGGAGATGGAGAGCCTTTTGCATGCCTACTATTTTATTATTTTTGTTACATTTGCATGCAGAACTGTTTTAAATCATAATTACCATATATGGTATTTTTGTTTGCAGTATGTTTTAGGTTATTATAGAGATTTAACAATGGGTCTCTCTAACTCCGCAGTTTGGAAAATACTCAAGTGGAAATTGTTAAACCCTCTGAAGTAAAACAAAAGGTGAAGGTACTGTGGTGAAGATAGCATTTTTGCCTCCTTTGTCTAGAACAGTTATGATTTTTTAGATTTAATTCTTCAAGTGACTTAAAAATATTCTAGGTGAAACCTAAGTGCTATATCTGAACAGACCTGTTTAGTATGTAAAAGAGCTTTTTTTGTTGTTGTTGTTGTTTATAATAGTGCTCTTTTGATAAGAAGGAAACAATTTTACCTCCCAGACTTTATATTTATTTTAATTTCTTGTTTGTTGATGTTGACTTTAGGAATATTAACCCTTCAGCATGAGCTTTGCAGCCCCAGTCATGATAGTTTTTAGGACTAAGGATGCTTTAATTGTGGAATATGTTTTTTGAAAATGTATTGGAATCCTTAAAGAAAATGTGAGTGAGAATGTGTTAACTTTAATGTCAAAGGAGTTATTTCTGTCAGTTTTTTTGTGTGTTGTATCCTGGTAAAATTAAAGATTATATGCACTATCATATACTGTGGAGTCTTTTTCAGCATCTATCTTTTACTTGTCTTATTTCGTGGGCAATTGTTAACCTCTGAATTAACATTCAAAAGTGTGAGTATTGCTTGTTTGAGATTCTGAACATGATTTCCTACAGGAAAAACTTATTAATAGTTACATTTTTAGACCAGTGCACAATAGTGAGGTATAATGATGAAGGACTAACCACTGTTTGTAAAATTGTCCTGTGGGGAAATGTGTTGGACGTTTTAGATAAGAACTAGCTTGGTTCCAGTGAGAGGTGGAAAATGGGCCTGAAAAGGGCAAATATGGGCTCTGTTGGTTTCTGAGAAGGTTTTTGGGAGAGTGGAAATAGGATAAACAAGAGGCTTTGGTTGCGAGAGCTCTTACAGTGACTGTCTTAATTAAGTATACTAGGAGTAGGAACTTCAAAGGGCATCACCCTCTAGAAAGCCATAATTTTAGCTCTTGCCTGGATTTTTGTCTGGATGAAGGAAGAGGTGTTACTTGAGGTCTGATGGGTATTGAACACTCCTGGGTAAGGGTCATAAAGAACAGTCTGATTTAGTAAAGTTAACTTTTCATGAGTTAGTGCAATATACATTACAGTGTGCATTTTGTTGGTTGGTTGGTTGGTTGTTTTTGGTGAGACAGTGCTTGCTTCGTGATGGAGGAATTGATTATAGTTTTCAAATTGCATATTATTTTGAAAGTTTATTTATTTAAGTAATCTCTATCCCAGTGTGGGGCTTGAACTCCTCATCCTAAGATCATACAGTGTAATATTATTTTCAGGAGTAGAATTTGGTGATTAAACACTCACATACAGCACCCAGTGCTCATCACAAGTACCCTCCTTAATCCCCATCACCT